CAGATAATAAATTTAATAACCACTATACTAAAACTCAAATTAATAATAAATATTACACAAAGACTGAAACAGATAATAAATTTAATGACCACTATTATACAAAGCTTGAATCAGATAATAAGTATTACACAAAGACTGAAACAGATAATAAATTTAATGACCACTATACTAAAACTCAAATTAATAATAAATATTACACAAAGACTGAAACAGATAATAAATTTAATGACCACTATACTAAAACTCAAATTAATAATAAATATTACACAAAGACTGAAACAGATAATAAATTTAATGACCACTATACTAAGACTGAAATAGATGATATAGTAAAAAGTAAATTAGTATACCATAGCAATCAATTAAATTACAACTCAAATGTTAGTGGCATACAAGATATTATAAATATTCTTTTTAACAATATTAAATTTATTGAATTTACACTTCTATTTATAAATACATCTGATAAATCTAAAACAATTCAATTAGATATTATGGTAAATAAGATTAATAAAAAATTTATCATTAAAATAACAAATGATAACGAAAAAAAGATAGCTGATGCACTACTAGATTTATATTACGTATACTGTGCTGATGATGATTTAAACAATATTTCTATTATTATTGCACCAAAAGTATCTACAGCTTCAATTAATTATAATGGATGGGCAAGAAAATGGAATAACGCATTTAATGGATTATCAAAAATACAAGTTTATTCACAACATACATCTACATTGTCTATGTTATATAATGGTTATTCATCAAATTTTGCGGCCACTATAGAAGATAATATTTTAGCAACTAAAAAATCTGTAAATGATGAAATCGAAAAATTAAAAAAATTTATTAAAGATAACTATCAAGCTAAGCCTAAAGATGAAGGTGAAAAATAATCCTCATGTTTGACTACATATCACATAACTGTTTGTAACAAGTAATTAATAAAAACAGTCTACCGCATATATACCTTTTATAATAACTGTTTCTGGAGGTAGTTTATAAAAATTAAATTATTAACACTTGATTATTAACACTTGATTATTATACATGCGCTGATGAAATGTGCTGTTTACATTAAACAACCATTGTTAAGAACATGCACTAAGACACGCGCGCTGCTACTGATATTTTAATAACACTTGATTATTAACACTTGATTATTAAAGACGGTTTTTAAAACATATAGATTCCATATTTTTAAACGATAGATTGTAAACTCGAGATTTTTACCCCCTTTGAAACAATAATCTTTTTACATGGCCTTTTATTGAGGGACGCCTTTAAAACATGGCCTTTTTTACACTGTTTTGAAATAACGATTTTTACACAGCTTTTTTACATGACCTTTTATTGAGGGACGCCTTTTGAACCATGGTCTTATTTTACGCTGTTATAAAGATAGTTTTTACCCACGACTGTAGTAGTAATATACATGGGGGATTCGAATACATAAAAAGTAAACTTTTTATGGATTCGTACCCGCATGTATATTACTACTCAGAGCTGGGACACATCGCTCACTCGTATATCTCATCTTATCACCCGACACCAGCTGACTTCAAAAAACATCACATCCTTAAAAACGTTCGCAACAATCCAAACATTATCATTCTCAAACCGCACAAAGGCAACGGCGTCGTAATCATGGATCGTCAAATGTATCGTAACTCCTGCCTTAAAATGATTAACAATACAGCAAAGTTTACCCCACTCAAAGAAGACGTCACACTATCACGTGAAGCCAAACTACAACGACTGTTAAGGAAGCTTCTAAAGAAAGACTCGATTAACAACAAAGTTTCTAATGATATCTTCCTCAGAGATTCTCAACCCTCACGCTTCTATGGCTTACCGAAACTTCACAAGAAACGAGAACCAGAACAATCGCCTCCACTACGACCGATAGTTTCATCAATTAACTCGTACAACTACAATTTAGCTAAGTATCTTAGTTCTCTACTAACACCATTCACACCAGATGACCACTCCACTAAAGATTCTTTCACTTTCCTCGACGACTTCTCATTATTCACAGCACCCAAACATTAGATTTTCATTTGAAACTGAACAACAAGATCAACTGCCATTTCTTGATATTTTACTAACAAAATCCCATGACAGCTGTACAACATCTACATATCACAAACCAACATACACAGGACGTCTGACGAAGTATTTTAGTTTCACACCACTTTCATACAAAACCGGTCTTACACGGACACTAATCGACAGCGCATACACACTTAACAATACGAACAATGGCTTTCAACGAGACATAAAAAACATCACATCCACTCTTTTACGAAACTCTTTCCCACTACACTTTATTAACAGAACCGTAAAACGATATCTCGACAACAAACAAAGCAACAACCTCAAACTAGACACCGAAACTCCTGACACGACGATCACGACCAACACAAATGAAAATTCCAAAATAAAAACTCTATACTTTAAACTACCATACATCGGACATTACTCACGACACACACAACGCAGACTTACAAACATTATGAAACGCGCTTCTGTACAGATATTGACATTCGACTAATTTTCACATCATTCAAAATCAAAAACCTTTTCTCATTCAAAGACCCAAGCCCTGATTCAATTAAATCTATGGTGGTATATGAATTTAATTGCGCTGGATGTAATTCCCGATACATTGGCGAAACTTCACGCCATTTATCCACCAGAATCAGGGAACACAGCACAACAGACAAAAACTTTCATATCTAGCGACACCTTCTTAAATCTCACTCATGTAAAACCAACTATTCACCCTCTTGCTTCAAAATCATCGACACTGCCGACACCTCATTCACCCTTAAAATCAAAGAAGCACTCCACATTAACAAAACTAACCCTGACCTTAATGTTCAAGTTTTTAAATTCAATACAATATTTAGTTTATAATACGCTCGGACGCTCCCCATTAATATATCTTATTTCCTTTTATTGTTGTAATTTATGTATCATATTACTTTTATATAAACCCTGTATCACTTATTATTTCACTCATACTGAAGATGGCATCATGAGATGTCGAAACATGTCTATTTTAAAAAAACTTGTCGTGTATATTAAATGCGCATTAGCAATAGTGCTTTTACGAAATTATCCATGAATATCTTATTTCCTCTACTACCTCGTGACCATGCACATGATGTGTATCGATGTAGAACATTACTATTATATAGTAGAAATTTATTTCTTTTTATTATTATATAAAGATATATGAAAGTTAACAAGTTAATTTTCCAAACTTGATTCGAGCTAGTTCCAAATCTCACCAAAATCAACAAATTTATCTTTATAAAACATTTACATACGTACATAGCGCGGAAGTAGAATATTTTACAGAAAAACAAAATAATCGATAAATGGACATGAAACATTAAATCACAAAATCAAAATACAATATAACAACGAAAGGTAAAGTTTAAAATCAACATACCTTCACAAATTCAGAAAGATTACAAAACACAACCAACTACATGATATCTCAAGTGCGGCGTTCTAGTCGATTTTGTGGAATAATTTCAATGATTTACGTTTCCGGTCACGTGAGATATGTTAACCTACCCCTAGGGAAAAGACTCCTACAATATACCGGAAGAAAAACCCTTTCGTTTTACCAACAAACAAATCACTCCATTCGTCTTATGAGACGTGGCTAAAAGCCGGTAAAGTACGGGTACAAAACGTCGGCAGGTAGTCGTGGGAGATACATACGTTGTACTTTGGTCGTTTAACTTATGTTGTTGTGTCATTGGTAATATCGATAATATTTTCTGATTTGTGATTTTCTTGCTGGTAATTTTAAAAGATGCCAAGGTACACCAAATAACGGCCTTATAGCTGTTGGACTTTTCAACATTTATTTTCATTTTATAGATTTTTATGATAATTTTTGTAGGAGCAATAAAAGGTTTAAAGCAACTGTAGCTGTCACATATCATGATGAGGATGGCCATGTTGAGAGAGAGGAGGTGGATTTGTCAGAATTGGTTACTGAGGATCATAGAGGAAGCTGTTCTATTAACAGTCCTGATAATTGTGGTGCATTGGAAGGCCATGAACTGGGAATGGAACAAGATAACAGTGATCTTGAAAGTGATGTTCACCATGATTGTGAAGAATCATCTTCTTATTACCAGAAAGTTGAAAGAAAACAAAAAGCATGGGAAAATTTATGACATTCAATTATAAAGAATACATTTCAGTTTGCTGGCAAAATTGGAGCAATCTGAAGTGTATTCATTGTGATAATGAAGCAAAGTTTAGGTGCAGCGATTGTGGTCCAATGGCAAAGTATTGTGAGAACTGTATGTTAAAGATGCACACAACCGTAAATATTTGTCATCATGTTGAACTAATTAAGGTAACATTTATGAGCTAGATATTATAAAAGTGTTTACAGTTAACTCTCTCAACACTTGCAACAAAAAAATCAAATGAGAGTTTACATTGTGAAACATGCTACGAAGCACTAATCTAATATTTTTATGAATGCAAGAAAGGGATTGATTACAACTAATTTCTACGAGGTTATTCATTGCTTTGTAGGATGGCATGTTTTGGCCATATAAACTCATGAACATGCTGGTGTATGATTGTTCATGCCAAACAGCTCGTCAAAAGAAGTGTTTCTGTTGTTGATGTTAAAGGTATGTTATATGTAAAATGTGCTGCAAAAGTTTTTCATTTTAGCTGGGATGGTTCAACACAATTATAATTTTGGATCTTTTTCAATTTTAGGCACCTTTGTACTGTTGAGGTACACTTTTGCATGCTCTCCAGAGTTTGTTCAACTTCTGCAATTTGGCCTTTGGGGTGGAACACCTACAAAACCAAGAATTGCATTTGCAATTGAGTTTTTGAATTGATTCATTCTGTGCAGATGGAATGCCAGGCATCAATAAAAGCATTTGTCAGTCATTTGAAGAGTTTAATCATAACCACATATTCTCTTCTTATGCAACACCAAAATGTATCCTGTCATTATAGATGCTTTTGAAGAATGTAGGTAACTGCATGTAGGTCACTGATTTATTGCACTGCTGTACTACGTATGAATTGCTGGGAAAGTTGCAGTCAATTTTATAGCCTAAGAATCTCATCTTAAGAGATGTATTTAATTGGAGGAAATCAAAATGCTAAAGTTTATGATGGGAAAGGATTTTTCCTCAAGTATTACTGTCTTGCACTGTATTTTGTTTATGTCATTTGTTTAAGAGTGCATAATTGCTTTCTTTCTGTCATTGTTTTTTTCAGAATTTACAGACATAAACTAAACATGTTGAGCTGTGTTATTCCTGAGCTTGATGAAGGAAATATCTGTCCTACTTGTCCCAAAGTGAGTATATTGGTATTGCTTGTTTAACAATGACAATTTACTAAAAAGAACATTAGCAATGCTATCTCAAACACCTTTTTGACTGCATCATTTGCATCATTGAACTTGAATACATTGCATGATTTTATCCTTCACCATTTTATTGAAGACTGATGGTGTGATCTTTGAGTCTCTTGATGCTCTATTTATTGGAGGAAGGAAAAAGCTGGGCAGAGTCTTGGAAAACCTCTATTTGGACAGCTGATGTTCTATGATCAGACACATGTTGATCAATTTGTTGCCAATTATACCACACCTACCTCAAACAAGGTCAATGTAGCTTTAATATACTTTGTTATTCTAATGAAAATTCAGGCATGGAAGTTACAGTGCTTTGAATATATTTGATTTTTTTACATTCTCTACCACATAGTTTTTATTTTCAATAAATTTGTGCCATGGGCTTAAGGAAATAAAGCTCTTATATACTTTTTTGTTTGTTACATATTGATACTTCTAGGAGTGTCATGGTTTTCTTGCTGGGAATGCTGTTCAATCAATGAATTGCTACAGAGCTCTTGATAAAAAAGCAATCTTTGGGCAAGGCTGTCGACATGGGTTCCCTTAAAAATTGTTAAATTTGAAACATGGAGAGAGGTCTGTTACACACATTTTTCTCTATTTTTACCTAAATGTTCTTGGTTTGAAAGAGGTGGTTAGGATGCATGCATTTGATGGTGTAAATTTATTTTTTTCAGTTGGATTGCTTTTTTCAATGCTTTGTGAAAGTGCTGAAGCTTTTTGCATACATGTGGTTGCATTATTTAAAAAAATATTCTACATATTTTATAGATTGAGCTATGCAGTTTATGTTCTCCAAGAATTAGAGAAAGATAATGTTGATAATCCTGCACTCAAAATAAACATATTGTATGATGTTGCATGCATGTTGGTGAAACACTTACAGGTAATATTCAATTGACAATAGTTGCTTTGTTACCTGTTTCCTTTGTCAATAACTTTCCCTCAACACTTTTCTTCTTTGAAAAGGTAGTCTTTCACATGTTTTTCTTCATTTTTTTACAAAAAGAATTTGGATGATCCGATTGTTGACATTTTTCAATTTTCAACTCCAATTTTTCACTGCTATGGGCATGTTGGACGATGCCAAGTTAGTTGTTATTGTTTTTATTTTTCATACGTATTAACAGATGGTGATACCTATGTTATCATAACTAATGGTATTGTAGATGATAAAATGATAAAAATTCAATAATTGTTTACTAAATCTTTCTTGTAAAAGGTTAAATTTAGTCCCCGTCGTAAAGAAGGTTTTGGCCTAACTGACGGTGAGATGTTGGAGAGATTGTGAGCTTACATTCGCAAATTTAGCAGAATGACTAAAGAAATGCGTCCAAGTCACAGAGTTGATGTACTCAGTGATGCTCTTTTACATTAGGGAAAGAAAACGAAGATTAATTTAGGTATAGCTAGTTTTTCTTTCTTTGTTTGAACATATACATAGCTAACATGTCATCACATTATGTAATAGCAGGTATGAATTAAATTTTGTTTTTTGAGGCAATTTGCTGATGGCAAGGATGAAGCGAGCTGTTGACGTGGAAGAAACTGCAAAATCAGATATTGAAAAGTTATGCAGGTGCTTTCCGTGTGAGTATATGTTTGTATTTGCTGTGTGATTATATTTGACTCCGATTTTGATATGAACTATTTACGACTCACATGAAAGCAGTAAATTTTCTTTTCATTATCTAAAGCTCACAGCATTTCAATAGATGATATTCGTGAGTGGATGAAGGACGAATCGACTTTTTTTGGTCGTGAAGTTGAGACTGGTTAGTAATTGAGAAACAATGGCTGGTAGCTAGGAACAGATTTGACACATAATTATTGATGCTCATTGTGTGGAAATGTTTTACCCACAGAAAACTTTTAACAAATATACGTAAATCTTGAACAACTTACAGAAGAAGAAGATTGAAATGCAAGTACGTTGTATACCTGGACTTGTACGCTGATCTTTACCATCGATGGAATATTGCACTGATCCAAGTGAACTGACTGTTCCATTTAATCAGATGAAAAGTATGTTCGAAAAGTTCAACATGTTTCTAGAGATATTAAAGTCTTAAACAGTGTGAATTTAGAAAAATGAAGTGGGAAAATTTTGAAGCTATGAATGTACGTCGTAACATTGTGAATAATAAGTTGGAATATCGAATAAAAAATTATTTCTTGTTTTTATACGTACGTACAAGTAGAGATGTATATGCAACTTGCAGGTGCTTGTCTGACCTTGTCTTATATTTGTAATGATTTGGTATTTACTGTTTAGAATTGACGAGCAGTTGAAGATCATGGAAAGGGAAAACTCAATTTCTGCACGCTTGCAAAATACTGACTCAAAGTACGAAAATGCAAAACGCGAGGTTGCGTCTAGGAAAGAAAAACGTGTTTTGTCTCGAATGAGGAAAAATGTTGTTGAAAGATGGTTTCTCCTAAATCTTAAGTCTAAATACTGTGGTAACTATACGTATCTCATAAATGTTCCATACCACTTGCAATGTTTGTAAATTACTTTACATGTTGCCTTCTTTGTAATGTTCTCTGTATGTTTGTAAATGTTTCTGTATGTTTGTTCTGTTTTTCAGATGGTCAAGCGTTGCCATCCAGACTTTCGAAGCAAATTACTCGAGTAACAAAGGATGTCAATAAAGATATCGCAGCTTATAACGAGGCAAAACAATCACATTCTAATCATACACATACCACATTAACTTTAGATGCTGTTAAAGATCCTGACAATGATTTTTGATGTGATCATCTACCTGCACCTACTGATGAAGATTGTTGAGTTCAATTTACTGTTAAACGGAAGGCTATAGATTTATGCCATTTGCTTGACCGATCCAAGGAAGAGCAAATCCTGTTGAAGTCAGAAGTGGAAAATACGTGGAGTCACTACTTTCAACAGCACAGCAAGATTACTGACTTTTTGAATAGTTTTATTAACCATGAAAACGTACTTGATGTTGAATATGGTGAAGCGATATTTTTACACATGAAGATCTTTCAAATTGAAAGCATTTTGATAGATCAAAAAAAAGGTTTTCTTTGTACATCAACAAACACAAACCACAGTATTTATTTAATGCGAAAGTTGACATGCTTCAAAGTGATCTGGTGTCGGCTCTGGATGACGAAGAAGAAGTGGTTGTATATGAAGAAGTGGATTCTGAAGACGGTCCAACAAGTGTAGACGACCATGAAAGCACCAGCGATGATGTATAACGGGGCTGTGCAGGCACTTTAAGATCTTGAAAATCCTTTAATTATAAAATCAATTTACGTAAAGAGGGCACTTGAAAAGTTGTTAAGAAATCATGTGTAATAGCCGCCCAACGTACGTACGCTGGATAATAAAGGCGTTTAAAAAAGGTTTTTGTTAAATAAATACTTGGTGTAAGCTTGGCAACTCGATGGAGCACATGGCTTGCCGATTTTGAAATGTTTATTATCGCGAGTGGAATTAAAGATAAAAAGCAACAACGAGCATTACTTCTCTGTCAAGATGGTTCACACATTCGTGAAATATTTCGACAGCTCAACGATACAGGCGACAACAGCGAATATGAACTTGCTAAAACCAAATTAACGGAATATTTTGAGCCTCAAAAAAATCGGCGATATGAAGTGTACAAATTTCGCGAAGCCAAACAAGAACAATCAGAAACGTTAGACCAATTTCATACGCGATTGAGAAAATTAGGTCAAACATGTGCTTTTGATGATGTTGACTTTGAGGTGGAACAACAGATAATCATGGCGGGGTCTTCTTCGAGGATACGAAAGAAAGCACTAAGAAATCCCAAGTATAAACTCAGGGATATTTTACTGGACGGCCGTAGAGATGAACAAAGCACTTATCAAGCACGGGATATCGAGTCAAAGGACAAAAATAACGACATGTTGGTCACCATCCAATCTGAATCGACGCGAAAATGTTATTGTAGCGGTCCATACCCACATCAAGGCTACGAAATCATTTATGTAGCTGGGAGAATCAGTTTCAAAGCAATGTAAAGTATAAACTATAGCAAAAGCAAGACGTGAATGTCATAGCAATGAAAATGACTCATTACTGTCCATATCAGTAGTAAAGACACCAGTAGAAATGACTCATTTACTGTTCTTATCAGTTGTAAAGACATTAGCCAAAAATGTCTGGTCATGTCATTCACTCCTGAACATGGATACATACTTTAAAGGAGGGTGTTGCCCTAGAAATATATTCCTAATATAAACTTTTTATAGTTTGTACACAGTTTCTCCAATGTTCAAATAATGTTTTGGTAAAAAAATAAGAAGTTCCTTGCAAAACGAAATGCAAACTGTTACACACAATGCCAGAGCTCTTCAAGATGCCCTGGGAATAAATGACAAAGCAGACTCTTTATTTTGGGTAGGAGGCACATATTCATATATTCATGTTCTGCCACATTAAGTTCCTTTGAAATCCATTGTTTTCAACAGATTAAGACATGCATATATGAATTTGTGCCCCCAATTAACAAGTATCCTGTGCCACTGCTGGGATTTTTTATATGTTAGTAAATCTGGCAGTCTAAAATCTGGTAGTCGGACAGTTAAATATGTCATTTTCACTTCTGCCAATGCTATGGCAATGATATCCTGCTTTTTCTTCTTCAGGTTATTTATAACTTTTACTTTACACTGCCTTTATAGTTTGAACTATAAAAAGTATTATTGAATCAATCATTAAATGAATATTTTCTCCAAAGTAAAAAACAAACAAACATTGTCACAACAATTAAGGTGTTAGTCCCCAAATCAAGTATGATTGAATCAAATAACAATAACTGCATGTCCATTTCAAACAGCTACAATTCTCATAAATAGAAATTATATTTTGTAAATTATATGAATGAATAGAAATAAATATAGAAAAGACTGTATTCATACTTATATAGCAAAGCAAATCTTGTGGGCTTTTCAGCATTTCAAAAAGGGATGTTACATGATCATGGTTGCTGTAAGATCAGTATTTACTCTCATTATACAAGAAAATGACCTAACAACATTCATTGTAAGGAACTTCACAACTTCTGAATAGCTAGATATTGCAAACTAAACTCATAAATATACTTTGACAGTTCCATACAAGTTTCTTAATAAAAACTGTTCCAGTAAATAAATGACAGTTGAAAACTTGAAAATACAAATGTTTGAATATTGTCAATAATATATTTATACCTTTTATAAATATACAAATGTTGTTATTTGAACCTTTGTTAAAAGAAATCTACAATACAACTGTTTCTAATCAGCTTTAGTATAAAGAACACATACCTAAAATGAAAAAAGAAATTGATTTTCTTCTCCATTGAAAATGAGCTACAAATTCATTTCTTCTTCTTCTATCTCCTTGTACGTTTTCTCAAGACAGGAGTATTTTAGCTTCTAGCAAATAAAAGACAAATAGAAGTCCAAATGCTTCAGTTTCAATATCTATAGTTTGTTTATAACCAAATGAAGATTATTGTATATTATTGCAGTACTTGTTCAGGTCCAAATGCTTTCGTTTTAATTTCTTTCGCTCTTTCTTTAAATTGTTTTGCTTTTTCGTACTCTCCCATCTTATAGTAAACCGAACCCAGATTGTTGTACGTTCTCGCAATATTAACATGGTCAGGTCCAAATGTTTTCGTGTCAATTTCTATCGCTCTTTCATAAAAATCTTTTGCTTTTTCGTACTCTCCCATATTATAGTAAACCGAACCAAGATTGTTGTACCTTATCGCAATATTAACATGGTCAGGTCCAAATGTTTTCGTGTCAATTTCTATCGCTCGTTCATAAAAATCTTTTGCTTTTTCGTACTCTCCCATATTATCGTAAACCGAACCCAGATTGTTGTACGTTATCGCAATATTAACATGGTCAGGTCCAAATGTTTTCGTTTCAATTTCTATCGCTCGTTCATAAAAATCTTTTGCTTTTTCGTACTCTCCCATTTTATTGTAAACCAAACCCAGATTGTTGTACGTTGTCGCAATATTAACATGGTCAGGTCCAAATGTTTTCGTTTAATTTCTATCGCTCGTTCATAAAAATCTTTTGCTTTTTCGTACTCTCCCATTTATTGTAAACCAAACCCAGATTGTTGTACTTTATTGCAATATTAACATGGTCAGGTCCAAATGTTTTCGTTTCAATTTCTATCGCTCGTTCACAAAATTCTTTTGCTTTTTCGTACTCTCCCATTTCCTTGTAAACTATACCCAGATTGTTGTACATTATCGCAATATTAACATGGTCAGGTCCAAATGTTTTCGTTTCAATTTCTATCGCTCGTTCATAAAAATCTTTTGCTTTTTCGTACTCTCCCATTTCACTGTAAACCAAACCCAGATTGTTGTACGTTGTCGCAATATTAACATGGTCAGGTCCAAATGTTTTCGTTTCAATTTCTATCGCTCGTTCATAAAAATCTTTTGCTTTTTCGTACTCTCCCATTTCACTGTAAACCAAACCCAGATTGTTGTACGTTGTCGCAATATTAACATGGTCAGGTCCAAATGTTTTCGTGTCAATTTCTATCGCTCGTTCATAAAAATCTTTTGCTTTTTCGTACTCTCCCATTTCACTGTAAACCAAACCCAGATTGTTGTACATTGTCGCAATATTAACATGGTCAGGTCCAAATGCTTTTGTTTTAATGTCTATCGCTCGTTCAAAAAAATCTTTTGCTTTTTCGTACTCTCCCATATCATTGCAAACCAAACCCAGATTGTTGTACGTTTGCGCAATATCAACATGGTTAGGTCCAAATGTTTTTCCTTGAATTCCCATTGCTCGCTCAAGAAAATCTTTAGCATTTTCATATTCTCCATTCTTCCAAAGCAATACACCCAGCTTGTTGTACGAATATGAAACATCAATATGATCAACACCTAACACTTTAGTTTGAATTTCTGTTATTTCAGAAAGTACTTTAGTTGCAAGTTTATAGTTGCAAAATCTTTCCAAAACATCTACAAAATATTTGGCAAATTTCCAATTTCTTTCATCAAGTTTTTGTTTTGATGATTTTACATCGATCAACTTATTTAGGAAATGTTGAAATGATGAATTTGTTATGAATTTAATTAGATGTGGAATTATTTTGATTTCATCTTCTCTGTCTTTAAAATGATTTAGTGCCCAAGCAACTTGACAGGCAAGATCAGCTGCAGACTTTTCAGAATTGTTTTCGTTTTGTTTACAGCCAAATGTCTGCGATGAATAATTTATGATGGCTTCGTGTACAACGCTGTGGAGGCGGATGTCGTTGTTTTCCGTTTGAATGAATAAAGAACAATGCTTTAATTGAAGACAGACATCTTCTGCAGATATTTGTGGATCAATGCTTTTAATAAATTGTATTATAACATCTTGTGGTAAGGGATCGAAAGATATTATTGAGAAAAGTTTAAAAACATGTCCCAACAAGATGGATTCTTCGGCATTTTTTTGTACTGCTAACATAACAGCTCTCATTCCTAAGTAAGATGGGTTCATTTTTTGAAAATAGCCATCCATGTTCTGTCGCTCTCCTTCATTCAACTTATTAAAATATTGCTCCCACGTGAATGTCGGATTTACACTTTTTACTCTACCTACGTAGGAAGCAGCATTTGCCAGGAACAACGGTTGACGATTTAATTTGTCTGATAAATCTTTTAAAAATTTTTCATCTTTATTATGAATACTAGAAAGGACAGATAGAAGTTGTCGACATTCTTCATCATTCATACCATGACTAACTGAAATGTGTTTATTTAGATTTCCATCTGGTGGTATAGCATCAATATTTTGGACAGTTACTATAATTTGACCATTTTTCCAGCTATGATCACCAACTTGAGGTAACAATGGATAAATTTTATGAAGTTCAACCACGTTATCTACAACAATCCACCATGTTTGCCAAGATTTCAGTTGTTGTGTCAGCAATAATTGAAAATCTTTAATTTTGTCTTCACTGCTTTTTGCTTCTTTCCGAATATTTTCGATGACAGTTCTATCATTGCTTAATCGTTGACAAAGTTCAGCGTAAGTTTTCAAAAGAGAGTCGACATCTTTTCCTTCGAGTGTCATCACAAATGTTGTCTTATTTTCCCAGTCAAACGAGTTATAAACTTCTTCACAAATTTGTCTAGCTAATTGAGATTTACCACTGCCAGGATTACCAGAAATATAGTAATATGTTAGTTCATTATTGTTAGTACTGCGCAAGTTTTTGAGATCTGATTTGATTTGATTAAGTAATTTTGTACGTTTAACCACATGGTGATTTGGTTCGCAAGGAAGTATTTGAAAAGAACTAAATCTGTTTCGTTGACATTTTATTTCATTAATTTCAATGTCAGAAAATCCTAGATTATGAAACGACTTTTTAATATTACGAACCATTTTGCGAAATTCTTTATCAGAAACTTTTCCATTTTTTTCATGGATGAATTTGTTTCTTACATTACGAAGTTTATGCACATTATCTTTAACCTTTCTGTCAAGATTTTTTCCAATTGAGTTGGAAAACAATATTGCTGCAAATAATGTCGTACAGTCCCACTTACTGGTGTCACCATCTTGAAGCTTTAATAGAATATGTTTGTCTGTGATTTCTTTTTTCTCTTCTTCAATATTGAAGAAGTTCTGACCACTTTCGCTTGTATTATCCCATTGTCCAAAAGATTTTAATTCAGGATTAGAGTTCCACTCATGGATAAATAAATCAACAAGTTTCTTTTCAACAACATCTGTAAGTATTTTCTGCAGGTAGAAGTTATTAATTTCTTCTCTTGACTGCATCTAAGGGTCATAAAATTATCAATATCAACATAAATTAATTCTTTAATTAGAGTTTATAGACAACTAAAATTGTTGAAGATCAAACATAGCTACGTAATGTTACAGTTTTACTTGTACGTGTAAATGAATATCGAGGATGGCAGCTGAAAACAACGCAATTGGACATTTTAGTTTTCTTGCATTTAGGCATTTGGCTACATTTTGTTAGTGGCATCGCAAGGATATTGCGAGTGAGCGGAGGGGGAGGGAGGGCACAAAACTTCTACCACGTCAGTCGCTAGCGAAATGGTCCTAAAAATTGCTTCTGCACTGGGAAATTTTTGAAATATTTATCACAACATGAATCGTTTCAATTTTTTAACTTCCCAGTTTAACCTTGGCGGATTTGTACATTCTTCGTGTTATAACGTTACGTAGATTGATTATTGATTTTAATGAAATGTTTTCATATTATAATACTCCAAGAATTGCAGTATTTTCATGAACCTTACTCTTAGTCATTGCTATATTTGTATTTTTGTGTCTACAAGTTTGAGTCTACGAGTATACTTGTCCACGATCTCATACAAGTTCTATGATATTGTGTAATGTGGTTCATGACATGCATCACAATATTACTTGTTCTTCCTTGCCTGCTATGGACTTGATACATTCTAGAATTATTGTTTTGTTCTTTTCATTTTTAAGAAATTAAAGTCTTTACCACACGGCTAACAACGTAGAAAGGGTAAATACAACGCAAACTAGTCTACACAGCTAATAGAATGCTTCCTTTTATAGTAAAGTTTTGTGAATTCGTAATAACTACATTAATGCCATGTGCTTCTTTTTCAATTTCGAATGATTCATATAAAGACTCTTATCTTAAATTCAAATGGGGAGCACTTGGGGCGCACAGTAAATTTTTAGCGGGGCACGTGCCCCCTTCCCAGGCCCCACTTTAGCGACGCCACTGCATGTTGGAATAAAATTGGAGGTACTGAGTTATATTATTATTTAGGAAGGTGTTCAACAATTTGTCTAACTGACACACAAAGTTCTCTAACTGACTCACGCTTTTGAGGAGTTGGTCCAACGTCTGGACGACAGAAGTTTGTCTCTTGTGATTCGGGAGGCGGAAGACAAT